GTTTTATCAGAATTGGCGCGCGGGGCGGCTTATTTTGTAAAAGATCCCACACAAAGAGGACCCCCATGTTGAACCCAACAACCCTCTCGGCTTTTATTTGTGTGGGAGAAAATATGGAAAATTTTTAGAGGGGGCGCCCAGAAAAACACCCGCTCGCCCCCCTTACACATTGTGTAAGGGCAGCCAGTGGTTTGACTTTTCCGTGAGCCCCATCGTTAATAACTTCCCTACTTTCCTCCTGACCAACAAGTCAAGCCTCGACACGCTTTGCTTCGCTTCTACTTCGCTGTCACTTCCTTTGCTGGGTATCTTTTAAAATGTTATGACGACCCCAATGCCGACGGCAACATTCGTGACAAAACTCAAGACGTCCAGCGGAACGGGGTTTCCGGCGTGGGGGACCCAAGTAAGGCTCGTACTTGAGGTGGAAGACCTCTGAGACGCGGCCCAGGGACCAATGCCGAATGCGGCGGAAGACAAGGTTGAGAAGGACGCTATCGCTACCGCGGCTGTGGCTGTGGCTGCGACGACTGTGTCGGCAACGCCAGGATCGTCAGCTACAACGGCTACTATACCTACTCCGCTGCACAATCGAATCATGAAGCAGAGGATGGCGATGTCCTTTATACTGGTTGCACTTAGTGAAAAACCGGCATTTTGGAGTGCTACTTACTGATCCACCCGATGTCGATCATGCACCACTTACCTATGTCGTACAGCGCCAAGTGCAATGCGAGCATTGGCGCGGCCATGAGAGAGTACATGTGTCTCTATTTGGATGGGACGAGTCGATGATGGAGCACATTCAAACCACTCGTCGTGTCCTGGATGAGCTTCAAGAACGTTGGAGACGGAAAAAAGGGACAAAACCTTATGCATAGTCTTGACCCTGCATGGAATGGGTTCGCCGGTGTGCTAGAGGTGTCTCCTACCTTCGAGAAGATGTTAACACGCTACCAGGCAGAAACAATCCGTCGGGAGCAGCGAAAGGGGCGTCGCTCTTCAAGTGATGCGTCTAACAGTGGCAAGGCCGCCGCCGCTTTTAATGCCGAGTAGAAGGCCGACAAGCGAAGTAGCACCAAGCAACAGCAGACGAAGAAAATAGGTCGAAGGTCAAGTGTTTTAACTGCAGTCAAATGGGGCACTTCACAAGAGTCTGAACGGACGAACACGTAGCTCCCAGATAGATAAAGAGAGAAGCTGTCAGCATGGCGTTCTCAGTGGAGGACAACGGACCTGACAACCGACACGAGTGGATCGTAAGTGGCGCTACGAGCCACATGACGGGTCATCTGGACAACCTGATTGGTGACGTACACGGACGGTTGCATCTAATGACAACTTGATGGCAGCTGCTGCTGGGCAGGCGCCTTTGCTTCGCGGACATGAGGTATGTGTGCTGAAAGAAGTGTTGTTCGTCGGCGGCTTAGCGCGTAATTCGGTTTGAGAGGTTGCTGCATCGAAGAACGGGATGGAGGTCGTGCTCAAGGACAAGACGTGTGTGATTAGCTCGCGTAGCGGAGCCACATTGGAAGCATCACGTCCTAATCAGTCTATGCGTGTGGTGAACGCTGTGAGCGAAGCAATTTCTGGTGCAGCTCTGATGACGAGCGAGGCACCGCACATTGAGACGTGGCATTATCGCTTGGGTCATTTAAACACTCAGAGTCTTTACAACGTTATGGCAGATATGAAACTCCCGTGGTTTGGAGTCATAAAGTAGTCCTGCCCAATTTGTGTGAGCGGAAAGCTCGCTCAGCGACCGTTTCCAGCCAAGAACATACGTATCTTGAAAAGGATCAGATGCTGTTGGCGATTGACTACGTAGGGCTAGTGCATGTGACGTCACGCGAAGGGTAAACGGGTGTGATCAATATTGTTGTAGAGCCATTTCATTTTAACATGGTGTACCCATTACGTTAGAAGAGCTCAAGTGCACAGCTGGAGGTAATCCAAGCATGTATCACAAGGCTGAAGGCGTACGTACCATATTATCGAGTGGTTTTCTTAAAGCCCGACAACGCCCTCGAGTACGTTGGCAGCGACATCGCTACATTCTGTGGGCTGTGTACATACGCAAATGCTGTCCGAGCAAGGTGCTCGACGGGAAGATCCCGATGGAAGCACTGCTGGGATCACCATTAGATACCAGCAACCTACGTGTTTTGCAAAGTACTGGTGCTGGTCCCATAAGAACATCGTAAGAAACTGGATGCAAAAACCCGCAAGGCTTCCAATGGCTCGTATTTAATACATCCCCGGGCAAGGACGAGGTGAAGTTGCTACAGCACGTACTGTGGGTTTGTGTGAGAACCAATTCCTCCCTCCTGCCGCCGACGATGAGATCAAGATCAGTACGGAGCTTGAACTTGATTTAGCTCAGCGCACTGAGCGTCAGCTGCAACTTATTCTGCTGAAGAAGAAAAGCAAGACGATGTCAACATGACTCCAACATTTTCGGACTGAAAGACGCCTTTGAATCGACCTACAAGCTCAGGGTCCATCGTATAGGGGTCCGTCTTCAAGGCGACCCAAGGATCGAGAAGACCGCACCACCTGCTCAACGTTCAACACGGATGGCCAAGCCAAGCCAACGGCGTCTGGACTACGAGGCGTCGCATCTCTCCATGGAAGAGGTCTGTGGTATGGTGGAGGAGCGCTGTATTGACTCCATGATTGCGTGTGTAAAGCTTGCTGATGCGTTCATTCACGGTACGACGGCTCCAAGTGGTGCTGAAGAATGGACACTTTCGTTGTACCCAATTAACCTCGATGAGGTGCGCCGAAGCGGTAATCGGAGCGAGTGGGCGCACGCAATGGATCAAGAGATTCAAAGTCTCGTCGAAAATATGGCGCATTTGTAGAGGTCTCACTGCCTACAGGACGCACATCCATCAAGTCAAATGGGTCTTCAAGAGGAGGCAAATGCTGACGGTACTTTGGACAAGTAAAAGGCTTGTGCAGTAGCAAAGGGCTACCGTCAGCGCAATGACGAAGACTATACCGATACATTTTGCCCGGTGATGCTCATGATTGTGATATTAAAGCGCATGAAGCGCCTACAGCTGAACATCAAGACATCGTTTTAACCTCAAGACATCGCTCTTGAACTCGGGACTAGACGAGGAATTTTACCTCGAGCCTGCGGCAGGATACGAGGGACCTGCTGTCTACGTCTGGCGTCTTCTTAAAGCTTTGTATGGTCTAAAATTGGCGTCGCGCGCCTGTTCGAGAACCTATCTTCATTCCCGTTAGGTTTGAATTTTCGTCAAGCTCCTGTCTGCTTCTAAAGAGTTCCAATGCTGATTTGATGATTGTTGTTGTGTATGTGGACGACGTACTGGCTTTTGCCATGAGTGACAAAGATTCGGTGCAATTTCAGTCGGTCATGGAGAGCGAGTACGAGATAATCAACTTTGACGACATCACCTACTTTCTAGGGCCCGAATTGCAGTGGTCACCTACTGGAGATGAAGTTTGTATTAGCCAGCACAAGTACATCTCAACATTTTGAACGTTTTGGTATGGACAAAGCAAAGGCGGCGCCGACACCCACGGAGGAGCGCTACATAGATCTGCTACTCCAGAGCCGAGAAGAGTGTTTATTTCGGCCACGGCCTACCATTGAAGCTCTGCTCGATTTGGCTGTCATCAGTAGACCGGATGTGACTACAACTGTACGTCTACTTGCTCAATAAACAGGTCGTTCGTTAATTGCTGTGAAGAAGGGCATCGATCGTGTTTTTGTTATTTGAACGGAAATCATGATTTTGATTTGGCGCTCAAGAGTCAGGGCGATCAAGGTCTCGTTGTGTATGAAATGCAGCGTTTCCCACGGAAAGAGAGTCACGCTTATCGACCGGGTATGCTATCTTCTACAACGGAAATCTGGTTGAGTGAGGATCCAAGAAATCGTTCATGGTAACGCTTTCGTCGACTGAAGCAGAATACATTACTTTGAGCAGCGGTGTGCACGATGTATTGGGCTCAGCTCGGATTGTGATTTGCTGAGGAATCGATGTTGGTCATAGAGGATAACCAATGTGCGCAACGCCACACCAAGAGCACGACATTCGCCCAGCGATCTCGTCACATCAACACGAAGTACTATTGGCTGCGCGAGAAGGTCTCAAGCCACAAAGTTCGCGTGCAATACTGCCCACTAACGAGATGGTGGCAGATCACTTCACCGAACCGTAATGCAGAATCAAGCTTGAGTACTTCCGTACCTGTGTCGGTGTTCATCGACTTAAGGTCCTGGACATTCAGCAAACCGATGATGACGACGAGTTCGCGACTATCGGAATGCGTGTGGCCTTGGATATACGCACGTTGAAGTTCGTGACCAGCGAACAAAAAGCTGGCGACTGCTGTACATGTGTACCCAATCTACGTGAGCGAGTTGCAGCCAAGAACTGCGCCATCACTGTAGAAGCAGTACAGTGGTGCCAAGAGAGACCACGAGAACAAGGTGGGGCGACATGGGGGCGAGCGGGAGCACGCCATCGCCCGCATGTGTAAGGGCAGCCAGTGGTTTGATTTTTACGTGAGCCCCATCGTAAATCACTTTCATATTTTCCTCCTGACCAACAAGTCAAGCCTCGACACGATTTGCTTCGCTCCTACTTCGCTGCTATTATCCCGGCCACCAAACCTTGGACAAACTTTGGTCCAAAAAAGGTAACCCTTCCCTTCACAAAACCCATAACGATAGTTAGATATAAGGGGTAAAATCGGGCGTAGATTCCGATTTTGAGGTCTATTTTTGCGTATATGCAACCATTGATCTCCCAATCGGCCGTTTAAAAAAGGCTCTATATCTTGCAGAATTGTTTGCAATTGTGGGCTTGGCACGTACTAACATGCATGCATATTCATTGGCAGAGCCGGGATAACAGGTGGGGATTTTCAGAACCGGATGGATAAATTCCAAATATTACCGCAATTTGACGATTGTTAGAAAATTATAAACTTGTTAAAAAGAACCCGTCAAAAGAATATCTAGAGTGTAAAGAACATACAACGGGTCACCCGTTCATATTCCTAATCGGCTACAGCTTCATTGTCATCGACGGCGTCATCCTCTTCCGTGTCCTCGTTGCTGCCCTCTGGTTCCGATGCAATTTCGCATTCATCACCTTGCTGCAGATATTTTGTCTCGTATTTCTGTGCGTGTGTGTATGCAGTTACCCACGTATCTGACGTGAGCGATGCAAAACCTTCGTAGATTTTACAGCGTAGCTCAGGCATCAACCCACACAAAAAGTCTCGTCGAGATAAACCTCGGGGCGCACTGGAAAATTGCGTCTGTTCAGGTTTAAAACTTTTTTTCTCAAATATTGCGCCCTGAACGCAACATTTGCCGTCGTTTCTGCCATAATATTGCGAGACCTTCCTTTTATAAATCGCATTCCCATCCTCCTAAGCACGCGACGTAGTGAGCGCACTGATACCACAATGTTGTGCTCTTCTTTAAGAAGCTGTGCTAACTGTGGTGCTGCAACAGGTTTTCCGCTCTTGTTCATTCTTGACACCGACTCACGCACGAGAGGCTGTATGCTTTCTCCATGTCTCCCAGATGGTTTTGGACCTTCCATCTGTCATAATTAATTTGTCGACCACTGAAATGATAAATATCAATAATAACTGAAATGATATGAAGTACAGCCTACCGAG